ATAGCAGAGAGAGCGTTAGTGTTGAAGAGGGCACGATGAGAGTCGCATCAATGCGAAAATCAACGGGCAAGGAAGGGGTCCCATTTCTCGGGTTCCGGGCCGTTTCACATGGTTTCTTCTTCATCCCTGCTTCCACTGACCACCTCTACCCTTATTTCCAATGAGCTAACTTTTCATCGTAAATTCCACTTTTACTGCTCAAAGAATGAGCGCACTCTCCCGTCATTTCGCTATAAATCTTTCTGCAGTTTTTCCGTAAGGAAATGCTTATCGACATAATACAGTTCGTCGAGCTGTGCAAGGTGACGTTCGAAGGCAAGGGTTAAGGGTTGGGTTCGGTCTACTGAAGAAGTTCTTCCCGTGGCTCAAGGTGCTAGGACCACCGCCGCAGTGGTCGCCTTCAAACGCGTCAATAATGTAAAGGCTCAGGACTTGGATCCTCTAACACTCGAAAGGATCCGCCCACCCACCACTCGATACTTTATCTGTCTCGTATGGTCATTCTGCTATGCTCTCTCGACTTGGACTTTTTTCGCCTCTCCGCGACTCACATTATCTCCTTCTTCGCTCTCTGCTTCTTACAATTGGACTTCTGTGCAGCGTAAAGCAAAGAGGTTCGTATTCTCTGTGTTTCCGACAATTTCTTTTCCTTTTCCCCTACTTGTGGCCTCCTTTGCATCTCACCTTCCATAACCTGTATCACCTGTCGTCCCGTTGATCGTCGATTGCTCGAGCGGGCGCCAGCAACGTCTCCATTCGTCCCTGTCGCGTGCAAGAGTGGTCCAGTGGATCCTCCTCGCTCGAGGGACACGAAGTCCTTCATTCCTTTCGTTCAGAGCTTTCGTGAAGAAGTCTGACCATCGGGCCGGCGGTCGTCCAGGTGTTCGTTTGACGTCCCGAGGGATCCAGTCGGTAACCGCTCTGGTCCAACGGTCATCGCAAAATCGCATGACGTGTCCGGCCCACCTTATCTTCGATTCCTTGGCGAAAACGGCAGCGTCCCTGATCTTCGATCGTTGGCGTAGTTCGGCACTCCGGATTCCCCTCTGCACTTGCGTGTATAGGGTTACTCCTAGCATCGTCCTCTCGACAGCGCGTTGGATAACGCTGACCGCATGCTCGTCCTGCCTGCGCAGAGTCCAAGTCTCTGAGGCGTAGGTTAGGGCAGGAAGGACAGCGGAATCGAAGAGGTGGGCACGGAGCCGGATGTTCTTCGTCTTCTTCACTACTCCCTCGATGTTCTTGTACGCTCCCCAAGCCGCTCGTTTCCTCCTGCTCAGCTCTGGAGCTAGATCGTTCATCATATTGATTTCCCGACCTAGGTACACGTAGCTGGAGCATTCGGTGATGTTCGTTCCGTTGAGCGTGAATGGGGCATGAATTCCCACATCATTTTAATCCTGATCCATGCATCCCGTAACATGTGATTCACCTCCGATGTCAACTAGACTGCTCATCAGGTCAGACGTTTTAGTGCTGAAAAGTTGTGGTAAACATAGCATGGAAAACATGATGGTTTGTGGATAACCCAAAAAACTTTCTGTGTGCTTCTTTCCAACACTGTATCTGTGGTGAGAATTCTCGACTAATGCCCCTATTGGATAACAAACCTTCATGGTGAAGTTTTGTGTATGACACCAATCGAAGCTTCAAGGAGTGCTTATCTATGCTTGCAGGTCTCTCTTAATGCCCACAGCATGATTCGCAATCTATTTGAAATGAACCAAATCTGCTGAATGCCAAAAGGGAGCACTTTCTGTTATTTCTTTCTTCATGGAATTCCACATAAGTAGTTACTTATCTAGACGTCTGACATGATCATTCAAGTCCACTTCGAGCTTCAGCGATGTTTGCGAAAGAATTTTCTCGTTCTGTACTTTAATACGCACTAGAGTGGAATTGCTATCGTTCATGGCGCTATTTCGATGATGTCAAAATTCAAACTGAGACGAAAGAGTCAGTAGTTTTTGATTGTTCCAAATAATAATAAATAAGGATAAAGCATTTGCCGTTGATCAATCCCTTTTTGGGATGCGGCACGCATTCTACTTCCATTTGTACATTCGTAGTGGCGTTTGAATGCGATGTGGCCTATACAATGACTTGCGGGGGCCAGCCGATGTTCAAGTCAGTGTTTTTATCCTCCCAGACAAGTCTGGTACCAATTAACCGACCCCGGATGGAAGGCTTGGTTGGCCCGGGCGACTCACGACCCAGGATTTGATCCCCGGACCCGCTCGCGTGGTGAGCGCGCCACTTGCCACTACACCACTTCCGCCCTGTTTGCTCGATTACGTTGTTCCAAATAAGTATAGCAAAATGTTGAAAGATGGGATTCGACCAAATTGCTCGAAAAGTGCGGTTAGCTGGAAATTTCTCGTGAACTAGATGACCACTTTGAATAAATCTCTGTACTCACCTAGCAAAATATGTTCTCAACTGCTTAGCCCAGCGAAGGTGACGGGCCACCTTTCAAAATCGCGCCAGCTTGAATGTTCAGATAACACTAGCAGTGATGGCGTGTGTAAGCCCATTTATGGCATGTGGAAGCGCTCTCGGAGCGATGTTCTGGTGTGGGTTCCGGTTCGGCTCTACTCTGTGTATAACGCCATTTCTCGTATTAGCAATCGGTGTCGACGACTCATTTTTGATGATGAATGCCTGGCAGAGAATCACCGCTCAAAGAAGGTTCGTTACATGCTTGATTTCTCGACTCTGTTTTGTCGTAGCTTAGTCTCATCATAGCAAAAAATCGAGGGAATAATGCAGCTGCAGCCTTGCCCTCCACAGTCGTCAGTGATAGGCCGATGTCAGACTTTGCGAATCGCGCGATTCGCTAGCGTCTGCGGTCGCGTCGCGGCCAGTGAATCACTCAATTGGCTGGTACCGCAACGCGACCGCGGACGCTAGCGAATCGCGCGATTCGCAAAGTCTGACATCGGCCATAGAGTCGGATAATTTGGATCAACAAGGTAACCAAGTGGCTTCAGTGAAGATGAGCACCAAATAGTCGTAGCCACGGCGTATGAGACCCAAATTTCAGTTGTTGCTAAATTTACCCCATAAATTATGCCATGAACGAAAGCGCACAATCTTCTTTATAACAAAAGTAGACTTACTCGCTGTTTTAGAAAACTCCCTCCACACAGTTGTGGATTCCGAAGTTCCGCTCGTAGAATCGTCGAAGACATGCTGGTCGAGACCGGTCCAATCAGTGAGACTTCAGTTTTAATTTGTCGATTCCAATCCCTACACTTCATCGCTAACTCCCGCTTTTCAAATCTCCATTACACAATCACCGGAATGCGTTGGCGTTCGCTCCGGAGCCTTTCACCCGACTCCAAGAAATCCAGCTCTTCGCCTGGCAACGCTTCTCGGCCATATATTCGATTCTCCAATCTTTCAAGGTACGGAGTAAGAAGATTTGAGCTAATTGAATGAGAGTTGCCGAAGTGCCTGTTGCTTGCTAAGACGCGAGTTCTTTTTATAGGGAACTGCCAGTTGTTGCGCCTCGAAAGTATGCTACATGGCCCTAGGCTTTACAAAACCAGTGAATTAGGCAGGAACCTCGGAATATGCACGAAACCTCGCGCCAACACAGCGCCGCGTGGATACGTGTGTCATAAGCGACCCACACCTCCAATACTCGCGTGAGGTGAGTGTGACCGGTCTGAGCAAGCACGTCGTCAAACCTCGTTCCTGCCCATCCATTTCCTTATTTCAAAGGAAAAGAGGGAGTACTTGGAATTGGCTCATTCCACGGTTTCCTTTGCAGCGTTTCAGTCAACTCGCTATCCAAAAGCTCCATTATAGACCGCTGTGACCCCACAAATTTGATCTGGGACGGTAGTAAAGTGCCATAGAATGGGAGTTAAAGTGGTGAATTACGGAAGTAAACGGCGAGTAGTGAAAGGAGAGACAGCCAGATGACCCTGCTCTAAAAGGCGATCTTCACTACATTCCGAGCAAAACTCTCACATGGCCCATGGACTTGAACCATGTAACACAGCGTCCACGAGCGCGACATTTGCCACTGCGCCACAAAGCATTCCTGGCTCAATTTGAAATCGTAGAATTCAAGGTACTAACCTATGACGGTTGCAGAACCTCGAGCGTGCACGTAGAATTGTCCGGGTGACTGACCCAATTTGAACAATGGAATCGAGGCACGCTGCAGGCCAAATCCACATGTGAGGGACTTCCTGAAATTAGGTCTCGATCATAATTGAGGTGGACTATGCTCCCATGCAAGGAACATCTTCTCCCTGCAAACTAGGAGCAGGCAGCCATTTAAGCTTACGTCTCGAGAGCTTTGTTAAGTTTAATCCGAATAGATTTTAAACAAGCTTTATGTATCATGCTATTGTCATTATTATACCATATATGCCTCGCTGATTACTGGTATTTTGTGGACGATACGAGATTGAAATAGGAGATGAACGAGAACTCGGCGATCTGTGAACAAGTCCCTTCCGAGCAAAGCTCGGCGACAGAAAAGGAGTCAACCAGATGGGTCGAGGTGTCCATAGCTTCAATCCGTAATAACTTCCTATATTATAGAAAATAAATTCTATGTCAAGACCTTTCTCGACGGCCCTTATCTAGTGACTTGATCTCTAACCTAAGTACTTTATCTCGTCCGCTGGTCTAGTGGCACATGCACTTGCAGTCTAGGCTGTGAAGGTATTTTGTTTTCTTTGAGTAAGGGGACCGTATTTGAAGCAACTTCGAACCAACTTTTAGTTCGTTTCCATTCATGCGGCCGCCATCACCACATTAAAACCCAGAAAGTGACTCTCCAGATAAAAATTTTCTCTTCCACCACATCAGCACACCTTTCTCCACTTCCTAAAGTTTCTTCTCTCTTTCTTGTCTGTAGCTTTCCACATCCAGGATCCAAAGAAACCTCTGTTTTAGATTTTCGAAGCACGGAATCAGTACATCACGACCTACTACAGTGTGTGCTGGGTACTTGTCAAGAACCCCGGCGACGTTTTGAATGCAACGAATTCAAGCGAATACATCAGCTGGTACATATTGTTGGAAATAAATGTTTCTTCTGTAATTGTCGAGGAAACTTCCCGAGGAAGTCGCAGAAATCTATGAGTAGTGAGTTCTTCATGGTGTAAGCTTGCTTGTCCTTTCTGCCTGTGTCCAACCATGTGTGCCATTTCTCTACGACCAATTCCTATAGCGCAGTGAAAACCTTTTTCAGGTTGAGGATTTCGAGAGTTTACCGAATTCGGTAGGCTCGTACTCGACCAAGTTCTGGCTGAGAGACTATGAAGATTTTCATGAACAAGGAGAAGAATTTGACAACTCCTCTGAATTTGAGCAAATGAACATCACTGCTCATTAAATCTTTCGCAAAATGGAAGGTTATGAAGGTGCCGTGATTTTTGCCACTACCTCCCCTCCCTTACCGAGAGAAACGTTAAAATCTACTTTACAGCTCCTTGCCGACAGTAATCACACAAGGAAGCATCGAATTGAAGCAATTTCTCGATTGGCCCAGAATTCTCGTTTTGGAAAGGATTCGTGCAAGTGGAACAGAGTGGAAGAACGGGGTCAGCAATTAAAGGCGGATTTCACGATTAAAGGCAGCCCATTGGAAAAAATTAGAGATGGTCAGTGATGCACGAAAGAAGAAAAAACCGATAAAAAAAAGATCTGAATCCGAGAAGTGGAACCCCTTCCTTGCCCGTTGATTTGCGCATTTGTGCGACTCTTATTCGGCGCTGCCCTCTTCAATGCTAACGTTCTCTCTCTGCTAATCGGCTAAAAGACATCGTGAGACCAGATGACGCTGGAAGGGGGCGTACAGCGCCAAGAGCGCGCAACTAATGGTAAGCCGCGGGGAAGGCCATGCTAGATCGCTAGGGACATGTCATTTGATGCGACTTGCGTGTCGTTCAGCACCCTTAGGAGGTCCGCCTTTCTTGGTTTTTATTTCTTCAACCTTCGTCCTTCTCGTGGGATTCTTTTTCGAGCAACATTTATTAATGGTTTGGGCTTAGGGTTCTCTCTGCATATTTAAAGGTAAGCCCGTTATGAAACCGGTGATAAGAGCGCTTCGTAATGATGACCGAGCTGCGAGGCGCCCTGAAAGTGAAAAGAAATCTAGAGAAATTTTAGGGCTCGTGACACAACTAACAGCAATAACTTTCACAAAAGGTCATGTGAGCGATTTTTAGAGGGAGTGGTAAAAGAAGACCATAACATCGCGAGAGACCCCGCCGATACCGAGGTGGATGGGAAGGGTTGCAACGAGGGTCGATAGTTGCAGGCCCGTAAGGATTAGCGCCCTAACCGCCCAAATTTTGCGGCGAAGTTGGAGTGATCTAGATGGGTACGGACCTTACAATTTCCCTCGCGATATCCTTCCCATGAGTCGGGCTATTCTCGGGGTTTGCCTTTAAAAGGCAAAGGTCGGGCTCAGACACGCTAGAGAAGTAATTCCCGTGCCTGGAGGTTGTATGTGGGTAGCTGCACACATTGCAGCAACTTTCCACCTTGAAAAACGTCGTTAAGCCCCCGGGGCCGTCGGTTTCAATCCGGGACCGCCTCGTCAATCCGGGACCGCCCACCTCCGGAAGTGGTGCGTGGCTGGCATAACGTGTGAAACAACTAGGTTGATTGCCGTATCAACCGATAGAACGACTGACATCTCCAGAAAACTTGTTTGTACGTGCCTCTTTCCCAAGCCAGCCTCCTTCACTGCTAGTGGGAAAGAGGGTTTTGTTAACGGCCTTGTCGACGGTTTTTCTCAGTTTTTCTCCACTGTCGTTCCACTTCGCATCTCTATACTCAGTTTCAATCGCCATAATACCCCCTTATTGAGCCCGACTTTTGCCTTTAAGTTTTCTAACTTCGTATACATGCATGTCTTTACATTACTTTCTCGAATGTGCTTCGTATGCCTTGTCACGTTGCGCTTGTAAGACTTCTCAATCCTACTAGGAAACTCATAACTAATAAGCTTCTGACATAGAATCGACTGTATGAAGATATGAAGGCACTTGCCGCTTATAATTAGTGGAAAAACCAAATTTGCATCCTATACACCCACTTTCTAACTGTGAGAATGGGGCACATCTTTCAGTTTCTGTCAGCTGCGTCTTAATCCAGATTTATTCCACAATCCCACCTGTCTCTTTATAATTAATTGCATTCGATCAAAGTCACCTCCGAAATTAAATCGCTTATTCTCTAGAGACCAGTACATTATGGTGTCGACGTTTTTTCTTCCACAACAGCTTTTCAATGTGAGGAACTAAAAGAAATTGGTTCAAATCGAGTCCACTTCTTGAATCATGGAGAGCTCTTCGCCGTACAAATGTACGTTTAGTTCACTACGGTTCCCAAAGGGTAATCGCTGTTATTGATGATTTGCAGTATTCTGATCTGGGAGTATCGATTTACGAAGAAGACGCCATGTTTCTGGATTTGGTCGAGACCATGGTTCCCACAACGATGCAGTCAGCGCTCTTCACTTTCATCTCGATGTTTGTCGTCGCCTGTTCTTGTCATATCTAACATCCACCTACGCGTTCGTCGCCACACTCAGCATTCTCAGCACCAGCATAGTTTGTTGTATTTTTTCCACTTGTAGCTTACCAATTTGTGACACCCGCAGCCCCTTGTTCTTCAGGAGTGTTTGGTCTCATGTCGCTTATGGGCGCTGAACTGGACCCGATCATGATGTCGGCTACAGTGATGAGTATCGGCTTCTCTGTTGACATACCATCACACATTAGCTACCATTACTATCACACAGGTTCGCACTTTTATCCCACTTCTCTTGCTCTCAAATGCCTCCTATTAAAACACGTATTTAGGAAAGGAAACGAGCTGTGTGAAAGCTCGTTTGAAAAAGACGGTCGCTGCGGTTGGGTTTCCCATCATGCAAGCGTCTCTTTCCACAACGCTCTGCGTTCTCAGTTTCTTCTTTGTCCAATTACACATGTCAAAGGTGAACCACCCAAATTTCAAGGCTTTGCAGTTCCTCTAAGAAAGGCAACCACATTTCAGATCTTTGCCCAGTGATCTCTTGCCCAGTAGCATGCTTCTCGTCGTGCTCATCGGCATGATTCATGGCCTCTTAATAATACCGGTGATCTTTCAACTTAATAGCAGCACTGCCTTACAGGTATACATATACAGGTGACATATCGTTGATGACTGGTGGATAGGTGACCGATTTCTATGCTTTCACATTGGATTGATATCTAATATATCTGCCTGTTTGCCCAGATACTATCTCTTTACTCATATTGAGAGTACTGCTTTACCAGTGAACTTTTCGGTTTCTCTGATAAGCCTGAATATAGCAATTTCCCAATGTAAAAATAGATTTTAAACGGGTACTGAATAAAGATATCACCTCACAGTTTGTTACAGAGTATAAGGCAAAGTTAAGGAAGCGATAAAGAACGAGCGCGCTGGGGAATTATGTGCACCACATGAAGCAGTTACTTGGCTGCCAAGGAAGCGAGGTGTGGCGCTTCACGACGAAGGTGCGCTGGTTGCTGAGCAGGACTTCGAAAGCACTCCGCCCCAAAAGCGATCCGCCCACTAGTTTAGTTGGTGATTTGGACGAGCTGTGTTGCCAGCAGCGGCACAACTGGAGCAACTCGACTGGAGCATGGATTGGCATGGTGCCACCAAACGCGTTGCGGTAAACTCGTCCATACGTCCGCCGTCTTAGCCGCTGCCCGTCCGTGAGCGAAAATCAACGGCCAACAAGGGGTCCCGTTTTGCGTTTTTGACGAATTTCTCTGCTTTTTTTACCATTGGCGTACCATTGGCACCCCAGGTCCTCCATCACGCCCCTCCAGAACCTGTCGCGATCGCGGTCTTAAAATACGTAGTACTACACAATACAAAAATTGCAATAAACTACCCCATTTTTTCATGAAAAGGCAATACAAAAGAAATACGAATCGTGGAGCGAATGCGTATGTATAAGAATGAATCTTGTTTAGCGGCCAGTTTCCTTTTTTCCCTTCCCTCTCACCTTTCCCCCCCCCCCACGCACCCCCCGTGTTCCGGCTGTCATGACGCCATGTGGAATGGCCAAGGGTGCTTAGTGGGTGTCATCACTATCATGCTATTCAT